ACACCTTTTGGACTGCTGGTGTATGAATTCTTAGCACAGATGCACATGTTTAGTTACTAGGATTAGATGTCAATTGACAGAAAATGTCCCGACCGTTGCTGCTACCTTGACGTGGTGGTCGGGCTTGCCTATCGTGATGATCCAATCGAGCTATGCTGGCTGGAACAATCGTTCCTCAAGGTCCTACCATGCCAGACAGGTCGGTTGAAGAGCGGTGAGACTAAAAGCAGCAAACCCAAGGTCCGAAGGCGAAGTCGTACTGTCGACTGTACAGAGGTGTGACGGTAGTAAGGTGTTTCCTTCAGACAACCAGCATAACAGCGATGCTGCCTTCCCACAAGGAGGGGTGGGGTTAGAAAAGGTCGGCCCTAAAAATGCACACCTTGCCTTATCCCACGGATATCCGTCTCCGGCGGTAAGGTTTTTTTTGAAGAACGGAGCTAACACAAAAACTACCCACAAAAAGGTCGTGTGTGACCGGCCTCAAGCAGTTGTCCCTTGGGCACTGCGGCCACGCTCTCAGGTCATTAAGACCACTTCTAACCCAATTTCCTTTTCAGGTACCCCCAGGAGAACCCTTCCACGGTGTGGGCAACCGAGAAGTGATAACTGCCCTCATACCCCTAACAGCACTCAAGACCACCGTATTCATAATCAATCTCCTTCAATTCCTACTATTCCTTCTACCTTGACTTTCAACACTAAACTTCCTGTTCCGGTTTCCTCCTCAAGTGTCACCATGGCCAACGATTCTAGTGCGCGAAACGCTGTCCCAGGTCTACTTAAACCTCGCTCCAAACTACACATTGGAGCCTTCAACGTACGTACCATATGCCAAATCGGTCAACAGGCCTCCTTAGCTAAAACGCTAGAATCTCGTACCATTGATGTATGCTGTGTCTCCGAAACACGCATACAGGATCCCAGTGTGGTCATTCACTTGACCTCACCTCGCCAAAATGGACAGCCTACGAAATACACCCTCCGTGTATCTGGCGACCCGTTGGCTAGTTCTCGCGGACTTGCAGGTGTAGGCATAGCACTAAGTACAAGAGCAGAACAGGCACTATTAGAATGGATCCCCGTTAACAGTCGCCTGTGTGCTGTCCGGCTAAATGGCTCCGTAAGAACTCGGAAGGATAGGGACACACGTCGTTGCCTTTTCGTCGTTTCTGCCTACGCTCCCACTGACTGCAGCCATGATGAAGTAAAAGATGACTTTTACAGAAAGCTCTCTGAGCTTCTTCAGAAAGCTAAGCGCTCAGACATAGTAGTCGTAGCGGGTGACTTTAATGCCCAGGTAGGCAGCTTGAATCAAACAGAAAGACATTTAGGTGGGTGTTTTAGTATTCCGGCTCAACGAACCGATAATGGTGATCGTCTGTTGCAACTATGCTCAGACAATCGTTTATTTCTAGCAATCACTAATTTTAAACATAAGGAGAGACATCGTCTAACATGGCGACCACCTGCACCAAACCAACGATGGACTCAAATAGACCATATTGTCATCAGTCATCGTTGGAGAGGCTCAATAGTAGATTGTCGCTCGTATTGGAATACTTGTTTAGACTCAGATCACGCTTTAATACGAGCGCGCATTTGTCTGCGCCTCAATGGACGCAGGAAAAGTACACTAAGAAGACCCATTAGGATTGAACTGGAGGACGAGAAAGCCAAATGCGAATTCCAGAAACAACTGAGTTCACATCTAGGCAGTTCTGTAAACAAGACTGACACAGATGCTGCTTGGAAAGACATACGAACAGCTGTGGAAACAGCTGTTACATCTATTAGTCATTTAAACCATAGGGCTCCAAAAAACCAATGGATTTCTTCTAAGTCTATTTCACTGATGGATTCGCGTAAACTCATCCCATCAGGCTCTAAACATGACGAAGAGCGTAAAGAAATTAGATCTAGGTTAACTAAAAGTCTAAGGAACGATCGTGAGCAGTGGTGGACAACGAAAGCAAAAGAGATGGAAAAGGCAGCGGCTGTAGGGAACACCAGGCAACTATTCAGACTAATAAAAGAAACCGGAATTAAGAAGTCAAGTGTAAGTGAGACAATCTCCGAAAAAGACGGAACCCTTATCTCCTCTCAACCCAAACGTTTAGAACGATGGGCAGAACACTTTAGGGGCAGTTTAGCTGGCCTTCAGCTACTGCACAACTACCCACTATTCCTAGAAAACCGGAATAGAACATTGAAGTAGGCCCCCCGACCCTACTTGAAGTTCAAAAGGCTATAGGTAATCTGAAACGAGGAAGAGCAGCTGGTCCAGATGGATTGGCTCCAGAGGTCTTTAAATATGGTGGTCCGATTTTAGCGATTAGGTTGACTAATATTCTGGCTAAAATCTGGGAGTTGGAGGTAATCCCATCCGACTGGTCACAATCACTGATTGTCCCAATATATAAAAAGGGGTCCAAATCATCCTGCGATAACCATAGAGGGATTAGTCTGACCAACATAGCATCTAAAATACTAGCCTCAATAATTATCGGGCGCCTAACTAAGACTCGTGAACTGCAAACACCAGAAAATCAGGCTGGCTTCAGACATGGTCGTGGCTGTATCGACCACATATTCACCATTCGTCAAGTTTTAGAGCACAGACACGCTTATCGGCGTCCGACAATGATAGTTTTTCTTGACTTGAAAGCAGCATTTGACTCTGTAGACCGAGAGGTTCTGTGGCAGTGTCTGTCATTGAAAGGTGTACCTGAGAAGTACATAAACCTTGTGAAGGCTCTTTACTCGAACACTACCAGTCGAGTGAGAGCTTATGGCGAACTGTCATATGATTTTACAACCTCAAGTGGTGTCCGTCAAGGCTGTCCACTATCCCCATTTTTGTTTAACTTCATTATAGACCTGTTGCTGGAAATAACACTCTCTTCGACTGAATTTACAGGAATTGATCTCCTACCAGGGGGACCACTAAGCGACTTAGAATACGCAGATGACATAGTCCTGTTTGGTGAAGATGCTGGCAAAATGCAGAGTCTTCTGTTGGAACTCAGCAATAATGCCAGGATGTTTGGGATGCGATTCTCCCCATCCAAATGTAAATTGTTACTCCAGGACTGGCCTGCATCAACACCTGAACTAAGGATAGGGAGTGAAGTAGTCGAACACGTTGACAACTTCACTTATCTTGGAAGTCTGATCAGCCCTAATGGGTTGGTGTCTGATGAAATCTCAGCACGGATTCGAAAAGCTCGTTTGGCTTTTGCCAACTTACGTCACCTATGGCGAAGACGAGATATCCGTCTATCAATTAAAGGACGAGTATACTGCGCATCAGTTCGCTCTGTTCTACTTTACGGTTGTGAAACATGGCCATTAAGAGTAGAAGATACTCGTAGGTTACTAGTATTTGACCACAGATGCCTTAGAAATATTGCTCGCATCTGCTGGGATAACCGGGTAAGTAATAGTGAAGTTAGACGCAGGGTATTAGGGAACGATGGTAAATCAGTTGATGAGGTGATGAATCTTCATCGACTGAGATGGTTGGGCCATGTGTTACGTATGCCTGAACACCGATTACCACGACGCGCTATGATGACTAGTGTAGGGGATTGTTGGAAGAGAGTTAGGGGCGGCCAAACCAAAACATGGCATCAGTGTTTGAAGTCACTAACTTCTAGTCTGAGCCATGTTGACAGATGCAGACTACCTGGTTGGGGTCCGCGTGACTATCGTAACCAATGGTTGGAGACTCTAGGTGACATGGCTCAGAATCGATCACAATGGCGTAGGTGTATACACTCTTTATCTTCCTTTAAACCTTGAGACTAAAATTGCTTCATATCTCTCTTCCTTCCTATACTATATCCTTATATACAACTTATAATTTATATACTACTACCACCACTACATTAATTACTTCTATGAATCCGGTATTCATCTTGTTGTGCTAACGAGGTATGGCAACTTGGACCGATGCATAAATGTGCCTGGTCCTACGTTGTAGCTGACTGACTGACAGAAAATGTAGAGTGACTGTAAGTGCAGCCGAATATAACCTACAAGCGCGGAGCTCCTGATTCAGTTTGAACCATGTAGGAAGACGTAGGTATACAGGTTGATTGGTTACTTGGGGATCTTAACTGATGTGGTTTAAAATCAGATTAGTATAACATAAGCTTTCTTATCTTTTTATTCTCTCTCATAGTTTTGCTTTTGGTTTTTCACCACTAACAATGCCATAACTTTAATTTCCTTCCCTTACGTTGATAATTTCGAGCTTTCAATGAAAATGGGAATGATGGAAACGTGACTGGGGAGTTACAGCACCCAACTTTTAGTCGTCATGTTCCTCCATCTACTTCCTTTCTGGTACCCAAGTAATATAAATAGCCTTGAGACTAAACGTGCAGTTCAAGAACTTATACTTCGTTATTAAGTTGCACAGAACTTACTAACCATGGTCTAATAAGGTGTTGAACTAATAATAGCCTTTGGAAAATAATAATCAAGCTAATTCCTACAAGACTATGTCGAAAAGATCAAACCTCCAACAATCAACAATATTCTAAAATTGACATTTTCAAACCTTACGTCCTAAACAGTATACAATAGTAACAAGTAAATTACTTATCACCACGTTTGAAGACTCCTCATGGTCGCCTTACGAAGCCATGGTTTTATGCACCAAAACACAAGAGATGATGAGACTAACAAGATAACTTAATCTCAATCAAATATACAAACCCATACAGTCCAACTATGAGACTTAAACCTACACTTTGCTCTAGATTATATAAGAAATGTTTCTGTGGACATTAACTTCTTGATTATTTAAGACTTATAACTTAAAGCGGTGAGATATTCTGGTTAACATGATCACGCACCTTAAGCCCAGATCTCTACAAATAATTGGATTTGTTTTTGCTTAACCATGTTGCTAACAGTGAAAAAGTATACAATGTTTCGAAATATACCCCTCCGAAAAATTCGTTTAGAAAATGTATTGAGATTAATCTTACGGTTAGTGTATGCAGATGGGATCCTTTAAATGCGTCAACCAGACGAATATGAGTTCCGTTGGTCGTTATTAAGAGAGCCTTTCCGTCAGAGGAAAATTGTAAACCGGTCCAAATGCACCCACTTGTTTCCATGCCCAATTTGAACGTAGCAAACGGTCCTTTATCAAAAGATCGTAGGTCGTAAAGTTTGACAGATTCGGAATTAATTCCCGCTGCAAATATCAATCCTTCTGGATCAAAAGCGGCTGTCGGTCGACCAGAAACATGCATTACACCCTTAAGGGAAAGCCGTTAAAAAGTAAAGTAAAACTATGGAGGATTTTGAAAAATATCCATGCACCTACATACTAGCTTCAAACGTTCAACGAAACTTATGCACTGATGAGATGTTGACAATCCACTAATTCAAGTTCGAACACTGCTTTTTAACAAAATATCGCAAGTACATAAAATTCTATCAATCCCTTTTTCAATGCTTCCATTCAAAGTTATAGAGTACGTAAAGCAAGTGATTCTGCAAGATTAACTGCTCCGTTTTTTAATCACAAATAAATAGACAGTGCAACTGATAATGGCTTCAGTGGACTAGTTTTAAGTAACTAAATAGGAATTTATTTGACGTCTGTCTGTATTTTGATGTTTAACTAGTGTCTGTAAACAATAAAAAAAAACTATTTTCAGATGCTTTTCGGTTGTTTCTCTTTGAGTCTCTATTGCTATAGGTAGACTACAAACTTGTTGACACTTGACGAATGCCAGAAGATCCAGCAATAAATCCATAGAAATTACACCAATTTAAATTTTCTTATCCGACATAAGTTATCTAAATAAAGTGTATACTATTAAGCGTTAGTTACTTACCACGTAGATGTTACATGACCGGTCTTGAGCGATATTGTTTGTAACGACGAGTCTACACAGCTGTCCATATCGGAGTAGCTATCTAGAGGCTCGGATCTGCGACATACTTTTCAACAGCCGAGAGCTTCAACTATTGAGATGCTTTTCCAACCCACACTTTACCTTCTTGATGAACCACAACATCACATAAAAGCTTTATGGCTGGCTGCCTATGTAAAAGATGTCTCGAGGAATATGACAAATGTTGGGTAGAAACTAGTAAACACATGCGCAACAGCATGAAACAACTACCAAATAAATATTATTTGCGGAGTCACAAAGCTCTAAATCACGAAGGGAAACCTGAACCCATGGTTAAAACCAGTAACCAGTTTTCTGGTTCACCAACTAACTGACCCTCGAGAAATCAATAAACAAAGTGGGGGTTAACGCGTGAGTTTCATTTACTCAATCTCAGCCCTCTACAGATGGCGATCTAATATTTTTCTAAGATATGAAACCAGGTTGGAACCTGTTGCTGAAAGCCTCAAAATCATTTTAAAAGCAACACCTGTAGAGCTCTGTTGCATGAACGTTAAGCATGATATGGACGATGGATAACAATAAAATGACGGCACATAATAAATCTCAATACGAAGCCAAACATACATGGCAGTTGGGTGACCTCAAATCCCACAAACGAATAGTACTGTCCATTGAACCAGACAAGAAGGTGTCATCAATAGGTGACATACACAAAGAAACGACCCTGTGTATACAAACGTTAATTCCGTTAGCTTACCTTTTAGTGTGACTTTGGAAGTACCTGATATACTTGTTATCATGCAAAGAAAGGTAACGTATTGTATCTTGGGAATGTTAGCATCATAAAGTAATTACCATCAATCTTTGTAGAGGCGTGAATTGCAGTAGTCGGACTGTGAGTGAACTGTATTAAGTTTACTCCATACTTTTTGCTGTTAAGTGTACGTTTAGGTCTGTGATCAAGTATGAGGACATGATAAACGTGATAATTACGTTCCGCTAGAACAATCGTAAGTCACCATCTGATCATCATCGCTGCTAGAAATAAGCGTCTCACCATTACTTGAATAGCTGAGGGAATTGATACGGTCTGAATTTTCTTTAAAGTATTTCACAGGTTTAAAAGTACGGATAGTGGAATCCGTCAACTTCATTTGTCCCTAACACAAGATAAAATTCGGGCTCTGATCAAAACCACCTCGACCTTGAAAGCAGCAAATGGTTCAAATGGTTGAGGACGGAATAGAAGAAGCTTTCGCTTAACGGGCTTCCGTGTCTGGTAGTCTTCAGTCTTCAGTCAGTCTTCAGTCTTCAGTAATAAGGATAGTAGGTTGATGAACCTGTGTTAATCCTGACAGATTTCCTTCCAGTGAAGGTCCAGCTTCTTTTTGAAAATGTTCACTGATGGTGCTGATACCACTTGTTCTGGTAAAGCGTTCCAGTCATTGACCACTCGATGAGAAAAACGGGACCCCACCTTTAGTTTATTAGATCGCGGTTTCAGAACCTTCTTGCTATGACCCCGGAGATTATTAGTGCTGGAGGGAGCAAAAAGGTAAGACATATTAACACCCAGATCATAATTAAAGATACGAAATGCCAGTATAAGGTCACCTCGCGTCCTACGATAAGATAAGGGGAAAAGATTTAGACGTTTTAAACGCTCATCGTAAGGGAGTTTGGAAAGACCCTTTACTAATTTTGTCCCTACACGCTGGACACGCTCAAGCGATTTAGTATCCTTTATCAGACAAGGGCTAGCTGCTTGGATACAGTATTCTAAGTGTGGCCTTACATAGGTGGGATATAAAATTCGAAACATATCCTCGTCAAAGCATTTAAATGCTCTGCGAAGCGACCATAGCGCGCGATAGCCTTTGGAAGCAACTGCACTGCAGTGCGTAGTAGTTTTTAAGTCGTGACTTATAATTACTCCTAAGTCTTTATGCGTATGAACGCGTGGCAGAGATGTACCATTAATGGTATAGTGGTAACTAATATCGTGCCCGATGTGCATGAACACGCTCTTCCTGAAATTAACTTCCAGGCCCCAATCATGAGCCCACCTAACTAATTCGTCTAAATCTGCTTGTAGATAACAACGATCAATCTCATTTCTTATTGTTCTCCAGATTTTAACATCATCCGCAAACAATAACGTCGACGACTTAAGTAATAAAGGTAGTTCATTAATATACAGAAGGAAAAGTAAAGGGCCCAAGATGGTGCCTTGGGGTACACCACTTTTGACCGGTTTCCATTCGGATAGAGTTCCATTGACTCTCACTCTCTGTCTGCGGTCACATAAGAAGCTTCCTATCCATTCCTGTATAGCACCTGTTATACCAAAGCTCGAGAGCTTTTGCATAAGACCTAAGTGTGAAACCTTATCAAACGCTTTGCTAAAATCTATAAATATCACGTCGACAGACTGGCCGTTGTCTAGTGCAGCTGTCCAATCCTCTCTCGCAATGAGTAAGTTAGTCAAGCATGAATGCTTGTTACGAAACCCATGTTGCTCGGGAGTTAACAGATTGTACGAATCTATGTGGCTCAGTAGCTTAGCCCGAATTAATTTTTCAAGTAACTTAACTACTATACTGGTCAGGCTAACAGGCCGGTAGTTAGATACTATCCGTCTCTGACCATCCTTAAATATAGGACTAACTATGGCGTCTTTCCAGTCTCTAGGTAGTTGAGCCTGTGAAAGGGACATGTTGAAGAGCATCGTGAGCGGTCTTGAGATAATGTCCGCAAGCGACGACAGCAAACGTGGGTGTAACCCATCGGGGCCCGGTATCTTACAAGGTTTTAGGTTAGTTATCAAAGGAAGAACTATATCCTCTGTCACGTGTAAGGGTCCTATGGCTGGTATCTCATTGTCAACGGGACAAGTAGTTGTAACACTACACGTAGAGTAGACTTCACTGAAATAGTTAGCAAATAACTCCGCTTTCGCTAGATCAGATTCAGCCAATAAAGCTGAATTTTCGCTTAACAGTAATGAGGGGATGCCATCACTACGTTTCGTCCGCCTTTTAACGTACGAAAACAGGCGCTTCGGACAGGTACGGCTATCGTATGCTAACTGTCGTTCGTAAGCCGTGCGGGATTTAGCTATGGTCTTTTTACATATATTCCGGATTTTTTTATAGTCGCACTTAAATGATGCCTGACCTGTTGACAAGAATAAGTCCCAGAAGTGTTTCCTACGCTTCAACAGCTTCCGGGTTTCCTTCTTAATCCATGGAGGGCAATATGATAACTTACGTGCTGACCATGGGATAAACGGCTGAGTTACGGATTCGAACGTAGACTTAAACCTATTCCATGCATCATCAATCGATCCATCAGCATCGACCGACCAGTCAATTGAGATAGCATAGTCCCTGATTGCCGGAATATTAGCTCTCCAGATATTAGGACGGGGTGGAGCAGATGCAAATTCTATACCATGTATCCGGAACTTAAAGGAAAGTATTACAAGATCACTATTCACCAGTGGGGGAAGGTGTTGAATGTCAACGATATCTTCAGAGTGGTGTGTGAGGACAAGGTCTATCAATGACGGATTATGTTCCAAGTCTATATGTGTTGGCTTAACGATACATTGTACAAGTGCACATTGAATAATTGATGACAGAAGGACGCTATCGAAACCACCACCTGGAGCTGTGAGCTCTATCCAGTTTATATGGGGTGCATTGAAATCTCCAACGATGAGACAACCTTCTGCTTTACTCCAAGAACAGACGTGTTTTAGGATAAAGTCGTCAGCGAGACAACACGGACTACGATATATTCCTCCTATCGTCACTAACCCGTTTCTAGACCTAATTGTACAACATACTACCTCACACGTACCACTTACATGCGCCTCCGATATGATCGAGTTAATGCGGAAGTGGTCCCTGATATATAATATTATGCCTCCTCCCTTGCGACTTCTAACTCTATCACTTCTGACACAGATGTAGCCTGAAATGACTGGAGAACAGTCTATATCTACAGTGAGCCAAGTTTCGGTGATAACAATTATATCTGGATTTAAGTCGTCTACCATCAAACTTAGTTCAGACATTTTATTCCGAAGACTACGAGCATTCGTATAACACACATTTAGGGTGTTTTTGGAGACATGCGTTCTACCCACACAGGTCTCGGAAGCATTGGCTTCCAAGACCTGACTACCCGAAAACCCTTAATCGTAAGGTTCGCTTCACCGTTTAGCCTTCGAGTTTTTAACTCTGTTAGGGCATTCTTCCACTTGATCCGATCCTCAAGTGGCCAGTCAGGTCGAATACGAATGTTTGAGTCACGAGTTTTGCGTGAGTTATTTAGTAATACGTCCCGTTCCTCAAAATTACCGAGTACTAATTTGAGGATCCTTCTCTGTTGGGTTTCGTCTCCAACATACTTACCAAGTCTGATGACTTTCGAGATATGTACCCCTGGGACCTCTTCTGGCAGTATATTTCTGATGAGAGATCCCACTAACTGCAGGTCGTGGGCATGTCTCTTAGCGGGATCAGTGTCTTTCGATTCTGCCAAGTTCCAGATGATTACACTAGGCATCTGTTTAACTTCCTTAAACGTCGTGTTCACGGCCTTTGACCGTGATGTCAGATTCTGCCGGTTAGCTACCGGCTTCTTGCTATTAGCTTTCTTTATGACAGTGTCATGTGGGTCAAGCGAGTTACTCCCAACAACATTTGGTGAAGTTAGACTATTTCCATCCACAACAGTATTAATTATTTCCTTACATATGGACTTGAGCGGAGTTGCTCGATGCTCAGGACGTGAATCCAACGATGACTTACCGACTATACGCAGTAGCAGTGGATCACCAATACCTCCAGGCAAGAACCTAGGTATATTAACAATAATAGGAAAAAAAGAAATTAGTAAATTATAATAATATGTTATCCTTAGTCCTCAAGAATATGTCAAGTTTCCTCTTAAAGGTCTCTAGGGAAGGCTCTTGGACTAGCTCAGTCGGCAACGAATTCCAGCCCTTGACAACTCTAACGGAGCAGAAGTTGTGTCTGCAGTCTGTTCTGCTATGTAGAGTCTCCAATTTCTGGGTGTTACCTCTGAGGTTAGTGTTATGACTAAGCTTAAGAAGTTGTTTAAGGGGATGACCAGAACTATTAAGGATACTATAAGTCATAAGAATCTCACCTCTAAGACGCCTATACTCTAACGGGTAAAGGTTAAGTGATTTGAGGCGCTCTTCATAAGGTTTATATTTGAGACCCCGAACTGATTTCGTGGCTCGACGTTGTATACGTTCCAGAGTGACCTTATCCTTTTGGAGGGAGGGAGGAAGTACTATGTTTCCGTACTCTAAGTGGGAACGAATAAAACTGTTGAAGATTATGTGGAAGGTTCTACCGTCAAACTGGCCAAAAATGCGCTTCAATGTTACCAGTGCAAGGTTTGCTTGAGAGGCGTTTTTGTCACAGTTCGCATACGATTTCAGGTCGTAGGGTACCAACACTCCTAAATCTTTTTCGACTTGGGAAACTTCTAGAGGTGAGTTACCTAAGTTATAACTATAGTCTGCAACATGTCTCAGATGGACTACCTTGCACTTTGAAGTGTTGAGGGTAAGTCCGTTGTCGCCTGCCCAACTTTGAAGTCGAGTCAGATCCTCCTGAAGAATTAGTATATCATTATGATTACGTATCTCACTCCAAAGTTTCACATCATCAGCAAAAAGCAATAAGTCAAATGAAACTTGTTGAGGAAGATCGTTAATATAAATCAAGAAGAGAAGAGGTCCTATTATTGAACCCTGGGGGACCCCACTAGGACATTCCATAGCCTGAGAGAGGGTGAAGTTAACCCTGACCTTAAAGTGTCGGTTTTCTAAATATGAAGAGAGCCAATCAATTAAAGGGGGTTTTATACCCAATCGTCCAAGCTTCTTGATAAGACATGCATGGTTGACCCTATCAAAAGCTTTTGAGAAGTCCAGGTAGATGACGTCAACCGTCCCCTTGCGATCAAGGATGGTTTTCCATCTATCCACCGCAGTCAACTGGTTGGTCATACAAGAATGACCTTTTCTGAAACCATGCTGTTGAGGCGAGAAGAACTTTGAGGATGATAAGTGTTCTAGTATGCCGTCGAATACTAGAGATTCCATAAT